CACCTTGCAAAACCCTAATAACCACCTGGCATACCACAGCAACCCCCTATTAACACCCTGGCAACCACCTAGGATACCATAACAATCACTTAGCAACAGTCTATCAACCACATGGGATACCATAACAACTACTTAGCAAGACCCTAGCAATCACATAGGATACCATAACAACTATTTAGCAACACCCTAGCAACCATATGGGATACCATAACAACTACTTAGCAACACCCTAGCAACCACATGGGATACCATAACAACTACTTAGCAACACCCTAACAACCACATGGGATACCATAACAAATACTTAGCAACACACTAGTAACCACATGGGATACCATAACAACTCCTTAGCAACACCCTAGCAACCACATGGGATACCATAACAATCACTTAGCAACAGTCTATCAACCACATGGGATACCATAACAAACTACTTAGCAACACACTAGTAACCACATGGGATACCATAACAACTCCTTAGCAACACCCTAGCAACCACATGGGATACCATAACAATCACTTAGCAACAGTCTATCAACCACATGGGATACTATAACAACTACTTAGCAACATCGTAGTAACAACCTGGGATATCACAACAACTACTTAGCAACACCCTAGCAACCATATAGGATACCATAACAACTACTTATCAGCACTGTAGCAACAATCTGGGATACAATAACAACTACTTAGCAACACCCTGGCAACCATATGGGATACCATAACAACTACTTAGCAACACACTAGTAACCACATGGGATACCATAACAACTACTTAGCAACACCCTAGCAACCACATGAGATACCATAACAATCACCTAGCAACAGTTTAGCAACCACCTGGGATATCATAACAACTACTTAGCAACATTGTAGTAACAACCTGGTATACAATAACAACTACTTAGCAGCACCCTAGCAACCACATAGGATACCATAACAACTACCTAGCAACACCCTAGCAACCACAAAGAATACCATAACAACTACTTAGCAACACCCTAGCAACCATATGGAATACCAAAACAACTACTTAGCAAGACCCTAGCAACAACATGGGATACCATAACAACTACTTAGCAACACCCTGGCAACCACATGGGATACCATAACAACTACTTCGCAACAGTCTAGCAACCACATGGGATACCATAACAATCACTTAGCAACAGTCTAGCAACCACATGGGATACCATAACAACTACTTAGCAACACCCTGGCAACCACATGGGATACCATAACAACTACTTCGCAACAGTCTAGCAACCACATGGGATACCATAACAATCACCTAGCAACAGTCTGGCAACCACATGGGATACCATAACAACTACTTAGCAACACCCTGGCAACCACATGGGATATCACACCAATCACCTAGCAACAGTCTAGCAACCACATGGAATACCATAACAACTACTTAGCAACACCCTGGCAACCACATGGGATACCATAACAACTACTTCGCAACAGTCTGGCAACCACATGGGATACCATAACAACTACTTAGCAACACCCTAGCAACAACCTGGAATACAATAACAACTACTTAGCAACACCCTAACAACCACATGGGATACCATAACAACTACTTCGCAACACCCTAGCAACAACTTGGGATATCATAACAACTACTTAGCAACACCCTAGCAACAACCTGGGATACCATAACAACTACTTAGCAACACTCTAGCAATAACCTGGTATACCATAACAACTACTTAGCAACACTCTAGCAATAACCTGGTATACCATAACAACTACTTAGCAACACTCTAGCAACCACCAGAGATACCTAAACACCTACATATCGCCCATCCCCACTGTGTGTACTCACCGCTCTGAGTGGGGACGTATATGTTGAGGTACAGGCAGTCCTCGCTCTGCTCCTGCAAGTACATCGCCACTGTGTCCAGGTTGTATGTGGCCCAGATGGGCATCATGATGTCCGGCACGGCATTCCGGACGGTCTGGGGGCACACAGGCGGGAATCTCGTGGCGTTCCGGACGCCAGACCAGGCCGAGGGGGCGTCGGGGGGCATGAAGCGCTTCTCCCCCACTGGTGGTGCCGCGTATGGCACACCCAGAAACTGGTCCACAGGGCCGAGACCCTCCGCCGCTACGGCAACCCGCATCCCCCTCAGACGCCCCAGGGCCGTGTTTACCGTGGGCTGGTAGCTCAGTGCCGTTGCCACAGAGACACACCACGGCAACCACACCCAGCACAGCCCACACAGGGCGAAGGTCAGAGGTCGTCTGAGCTGGTGCGTGTGTGACAGGTGACCTCTCATCCGTGTGTGCCACATGGTCTCTCTCACCTCACAAACACACACACCACACACACCACACACACACTCACACACACGTACTCAGGTAGACGCAGAGCTCCGCCCCTCAGCCAGGTGGTTTCTGCACAGATGATGCCATTGGTCAGGGAATCCGCAGGTAATGATCCACTGCCCCTCAAAGCGCCAACTCCATCACAATCGATACGCACCTAAACAAACAAACAAGCAAACTAAAGCATTAACGCTCAGTCGGCACATGATGTCACTGTGTTGCTGTGTTGCGAACTGCAGATTGAGGACAGGAAGTGAATTACTTTACAGGAAGCTGTCAAAAGCTCTCACATTGCCTGTGGTTTGCACCGTTTATGGTCGCCTTGAATTGATCTAACCGAAAACCATGAGGAGCTTTTACTGAGTACCGACATTTGTTGTTCACAAGAGAAAAAAATGTAAGAAACAGACTGTAAAACAGCGTCAAAATTGACTTGCAAATCTTAATCTGCGGCCAGGAGGAGCGGACCTTAATCTTAATCTGTGGTCCGGAGGAGCGGATCTTACTCTGCAGTCAGGAGGAGTGGACCTTAATCTTAATCTGCGGTCAGGAAGAAAGGACCTTAGTCTTACTCTGCAGTTAGGAAGAGCGGATCTTACTCTGTGGTCAGGAGGAGCGGACCTTAATCTTAATCTGCGTTCAGGAGGAGCAGACCTTAATCTTAATTTATGGTCAGGAGAAGCGGAACTTAATCTTAATCTGTGGTCAGAAGGAGCAGACCTTAATCTTAATCTGCAGTCAGGAGGAGCGGACCTTAATCTTACTCTGCAGTCAGGAGGAGTGGACCTTAATCTTAATTTACAGTCAGGAGAAGCGGACCTTAATCTTACTCTGCGGTCAGGAGGAGCAGACCTTAATCTTACTCTGCGGTCAGGAAGAGCGGACCTTAATCTTAATCTGCAGTCAGGAGGAGCGGACCTTAATCTTAATTTACAGTCAGGAGGAGCAGACCTTAATCTTACTCTGCGGTCAGGAAGAGCGGATCTTAATCTTAATCTGCAGTCAGGAGGAGCGGACCTTAATCTTAATTTACAGTCAGGAGGAGCAGACCTTAATCTTACTCTGCGGTCAGGAAGAGTGGATCTTAATCTTAATCTGCAGTCAGGAGGAGCGGACCTTAATCTTACTCTGCGGTCAGGAAAAGTGGACCTTAATCTTAATCTGCAGTCAGGAAGAGCGGACCTTAATCTTAATTTACAGTCAGGAGGAGCAGACCTTAATCTTACTCTGCGGTCAGGAAAAGTGGACCTTAATCTTAATCTGCAGTCAGGAAGAGCGGACCTTAATCTTAATTTACAGTCAGGAGGAGCAGACCTTAATCTTACTCTGCGGTCAGGAAAAGTGGACCTTAATCTTACTCTGCGGTCAGGAAAAGTGGACCTTAATCTTACTCTGCAGTGTTGTATTCCATTAGATAAACAGACAGATGCTAATGGTCTGTTTCCTCCACCAACATTACATCTGAGCCTTTTTCTGCTTGTATGTTTCAGCTGGAAAACAGACACTCAGTGAAGGGGTGGTAAAATGAGGCTGAGCGAGAAAAATAGCATTTCATTAAATCTGTTTGAGCACAGTGTAAAAAATTAACTTGAATTTAATGTTTATTGGTGGCCTCACTGCATTCCTTCTGTAGACAATACGTGATTGACATCACACTCACCGTGCAAAATACAGGGGGCCCTGGGGGGTCTGAGGACCCCTAATTCACCTCTTGGACCTGCTGAATGTCTCAAAATCAAAATTCTGCTGGGTGCCTTAAAATAAACCTATTATGATGTTCTGGTGTCCATTAGAGCAAAATAGATGTAATCCAGACTCAGTGAAGCTGATTGTTTATCTGCTTCACTCACAATCAGCTTCTGTCACTGGTGTTCCTAACTAACTAGAGCTGCAGCACTGCTCTGCCTCAGGGTGGCGCTGTAGCAGACTGGCTCAACCAGTTGGTCCTTCATAGTCTAGAAACTGTAACTCTGCCTGGATTCCTCTGAAACACTTTACAATGAGCTGCAGCAGATCTGTAAATCTGAAAACTCGCCCAGTTCCCGAGGAGTTTGGAGTGAAGAGTGACTGTTCCTCATTTCTCACACTGAAGACAGAATCACTTTGTGATTTTTGTCACCTTTTTTCAAAACCTCAGCTACTTTCCACAGGGAGAAGAGAGCGGCCAGTTCTGCCCCGCGAGCGAGGGGCACCTCCCTCTGCGTCTGCTCTGTTCTGTGAGCTGCAGAGACGTTGTTCAAATACTGACTGCACACTTTTAAATCTTACAAAAATCTTTGTATCTGTAGGATTGAAAGATTTATCCACCAGGGGGCAGATTAGACATAATCACCCCAACTGAAAACGGAACATCCTTGTGGTTGGTTACCCAGATGGAGGCCGTGCACCTGTGAAAAAAAGACTGAGAAAGATATTCTGTCACTTCTTACTTTCTCTTTGAATACCATTTTACATGGAAATACAGCCAAAATCACAGCACAGCTGTTGTCTTTAACCCTCTGGGATCCACAAATTCGCCTGCACATATCTTTGTGATGATCCAGCACAGAAATCCAGTTCAAACACCTGAATCTGTAGAGTCGCCCTTTCCATTCCATCTTATCACGAGATCATACGAGACTCACATCCGGAGTTATGAGCCTATGAAGAGGGGATGAGATAAACGTCATCTGCCTCTCACTGTGTGGAACTGGTGGATTGGTCCATCTACATTCTGTGTGAAACTGACCAATGGACACTCAGGAAATCACTAAGGACTGACCATCACGCCGGAAACCCTTCATTCTTCATTCAGTCCACATCGGAGACTCATGAGAAACGGCGTACAGAGAGTTTACAGCTGCTGAAGCTGCTGCAGCGGTTTTGGAAAGTAGTGATGAAGATAACGGAGCATTTTGGAATCATGTTATATGAACAGCCTTCAAGGAGGATTTAACAAGAGATGAGCAAATCCAGAAGATGCCCTCAGACCTTAGAGGGGTCAATGACGTCTGTCGTGATTTAGTCAGATGACGTCATGGTTGTAAAATTGTAATATTGGCAGTTTGGAAATGGACTGCTGGTCAACATGTAATCTTAAAGGGGTGCATTTCAGTCACTGTTTCACATGCGTCCTGCTACCTGACAAAGAAAACAGAAAAATACGGAAGCGAGATCAGCTTTTTTGGAAAATCGTATCACATCGTATCACATCGTATGTGAGCACAGATGTGAAGTGCTGACACCATCTGACACCAGGCAGAATGCAATTACAGCACAATGACATCACAAACATGCTAATTAGCCCATGGCGTCATCTAGCAACATCTAGCGACTTTTCGATCTGGCTTTAGCTACTTTCCATCAAGAGCAGCTGGCAACGCTGGTCTTCACTCACTTGTAAATGACTTTGTAGTGAGGAAGGAAAGTCGTTACAGCCCATAACTCATTTTATCTTCGCACTTCATTCCTCTCCCCATATTTCTGCTCAGATGGTTCAGCCCTGAATGAGTCTGGGCTTTGGCAGTTTGCCTTTCCTGAAACGACGGCGATGTCATCCATAAATAACACTACACAACTTCTACAGCTGAATCGTCTCTGCGCTGCTGTAAGATTAATGAGTGAGAAGCTGGAGCGAAGATTTCTCTTCATATACTTCATTAAAAATTTACTTTAGAAGCTGGATAGACTCTGAGAGGCTGAGCTGATCAGCCACAGCAGAAACATACAGCACTTCATACTTACAGACTTCATGCAGGTCTGTGCTGTTTTTTCAGCAGGACAGTCTCAGAGATTCTGCCTTAGCAGATGCTAGCAGCACATAGCAGTCCCAAAGAGCCACAAGCAGAAACTAGTAATAGCACAGCAGTGCTATTCATGTAAAGGCTACTTACACTGTGAAGATGCTAGTAATGATGCTAGTGCTAGCTTTCAACATTTTTATGAGGTTCAGTCTTATAGAGTGTGCATTAGCAGTGAAGCTAGCGCTAGTTACGTTGGCTAATCAGTGTCTTATAGAGTGTGCATTAGCGGTGAAGCTAGCGCTAGTTACATTGGCTAATCAGTGTCTTATAGATTGTGCATTAGCGGTGAAGCTAGCGCTAGTTACATTGGCTAATCAGTGTCTTATAGATTGTGCATTAGCGGTGAAGCTAGTGCTAGCTTTCAACATTTATACTATGGCTTACCAGTCCAGCCTTAATGCATTAACAGTGATCCTAGCACTGATTTACAACAGTTTTTCTGTGGTTTATCTGTTCAGTCTCCAAGAGTGTGGAGTGCAGCAGATAAAGGACCATTAGAAATCACATTAGTAAACCATAGAATGCTTTTAGAATCAGCTGTTCATCCCCTGTTAAACCATTAGTCTCCTGTTAGTCCTCTGTTAAACCATTAGGGTCCTTTATGTTGGGTTTTTTCAGCAGTGCATCGCAGTTACATAGAGGTGCCAGCATGACGAGGAATGATGAGGGAGCAGAACACAACGACGAGGGAGCAGAATGGAATGACGAGGGAGCAGAGCGGAATAATGAGGGAGCAGAGCGGAATGACAAGGGAGCAGAATGGAATGATGAGGGAGCAGAACGGAATGACAAGGGAGCAGAACACAATGACGAGGGAGCAGAATGGAACGACGAGGGAGCAGAACGGAATGACAAGGGAGCAGAACACAATGACGAGGGAGCAGAAACGGAATGACGAGGGAGCAGAGCGGAATAATGAGGGAGCAGAGCGGAATGACGAGGGAGCAGAACGGAATGATGAGGGAGCAGAACGGAATGACGAGGGAGCAGAGCAGAATGATGAGGGAGCAGAGCGGAATGATGAGGGAGCAGAACGGAATGACGAGGGAGCAGAGCAGAATGATGAGGGAGCAGAGCGGAATGATGAGGGAGCAGAACGGAATGACGAGAGAGCAGAACGGAATGAAGAGGGAGCAGAAGGGAATGACGAAGGAGCAGAGTGACATGAGGAGGGAGCAGAACGGAATGAAGAGGGAGCAGAGGGAATGACGAGGGAGCTGAACGGAATGACGAGGGAGCAGAACATAATTACGAGGGGAGCTGAACGGAATGATGAGGGAGCAGAACAGATTGAAAAGGCAGCAGAATGGAATGATGAGGGAGCAGAACGGAATGACGAGGGAGCAGAACAGAACGACAAGGGGCAGAATGGAAC